GGGAGGTGAGCACAAGTGTGGGAATGGGGGAGTGAGGAGGAGTGGGGGTGTGACTAAGGGAGAGTAAGTGCGAGAACGAGTGGGGGAGTGAGAGTGGGAAAGTGTGAGCAGGTGAGCGAGTGTGAGGAGTGTGAGGGGCAGCGTGGGAGAGAGTGAACAAGAGTAAGAACTGAGTGGGAGGGTGAGTGCGAGTGGGGGAACGAGTAGAGGGGTGAGTGGGGAATGTGAGTCGGGGGGTGTGAGTGGGAGAGTGTGAATGTGAGGGAGGGAACGAGCAGGGCGAGTCTAAGTGGGGAAGTGAGTGGAGAGTGTGAAATGAGTGGGAGTGAGGTTGAGTGTGAGGTGAGAGTGAGAGGAGGAAAGCAGAAAAGCAGGACATCTTTACTGTCAGGAGAGTTGCACAGAAGAACGGAGGGCAGAAGTGATGCACAGGGCTGTTACACTTATGATCAATGGGGAGTGAGAGTGAGTGGGGAGTGTAAGGAGTGCGAGATGAGTGGGGGAGTGAGTGTGAGTGGGGCAAGTGTGGGCAATGGGGTAGTGAGCGGGGGAGTGAGTGTGAGTGGGGGAGCAAGTGGAGGAGTGTGAGAACGAAAGGGGGGGAGTGCGAGGGGGGAGGGAGAGCGGGGGGGGGGTGAGTGGGGGAATGAGGAAGGTGAGTCGGGGAGTTTGAGTAAGAGGAGTGGGAGAGTTGAGTGTGAACAGGGGAGTGAGTGTGGGGAATGGGGGAGTGAGTAAGGGAATGAGTAGAGGAGTGAGTGAGGTGGGGGAGTGAGAGTCAGGGGTGTGGGAGAGTGAGCTAAGGAGTGAGAATGAGGGGAGCGAGGAGGGTGTGTGGGAAGGGGAGTGACTGGGAGTGGGAGAGCGAGTGGAGGAGAGTAATGAGTGTGAGTGGGGGAAGTGCTTGGGAGTGTGAGTGGGGAGCGAGTGCGAGAATATGAGTGGGGGAATGGGGCAGTGGGGAGTGGACTATGAGTGGGGGAATGAGGAGCGAGAGGGGG